AACACACATCTCTCCGCGCGGCCACGGCGCCCGCGGACCAGGCGCGCCCGCCCGTCTCCCGCGCCGCGCCCTCGCCGCCGCCCGCCGAGGGCCCGGCGGAGCTCAGCTCGCGCCCCGGGGGCCTCGGGCCCGGTTCCCGCCGCCCTTCCTTTCTCCTCCCGGGCCGGGGGAGCTGAACCACGGTAAGCGCTCCGCCCACCGGCGGCCCTGGGGGGACCCGGCTCCGCTCGGCGCCCGCTCTCGGAGCGCGCCGCCGGCGGGCGTGGGGCGCGGGGCGCGTGCGGGCGCGGCGTAGGGCTGGCGGGAGGCGGCGAGTGTGCGCGGGGCATGCATTACATAAACTTTTGCTGCCTTGGCAGGAGGGGGACTCGCCACCTTAAGGTAGCTGCTTTGATTGCAGCGCCCTGGCGCCCGCACGTAGCCCTGTCTCCCTCCCTCTCCCCGCTATTGCATAACGTCTCCGGATTTCAGGAAAATTGATGTTTCGGTGGAGAGGAGCGCGCCGGGGAGGCGGAGTGGAGGCCGATCCCCTTAGCAGCCAGACGACGCGCCCTGCTCTCCGGGGTCCCCCCGGCGCTGGTCCCCTCTCCCGTCTGGCCAGGGGGAGGGTTGAGTCACGGGGAACTGTGTGGGTTTGCTTAGAAGGAGGGTTGAGAGTGCGAGCCGTGACGGCGTTCGGAGATGCCTGCGCGGCGCTTGTTTGTGTCAGGCGCCGTGTCGGCACCGACGTTTTCCACCCTGTTTGTCGTCAGCGTGTTTTACGAGCCCTCGGGAAGGTGGAGGGATGTGTCCTTTCTCACATTGCATAATGGGCCCGCGGTGAAGCGTGGGCCCCGAGGACGAACCGATGGGAGAAAGTGCGCGCGTGTGTGTGCAAGGATTTGGTCATTTGAGCGCAGCGTTGGGCATTAGATCCTTATCGGTACCCCAGCATCGTCCCAGATAAGCATGTTTTTAAAACGAGCCTACGGAATTCATTATTAAGAAAGGAGAAATCCTAGCGTTGGGCACCGATGCGCGCGGGGGAGGGGGGCTCCTTAAATGTTCCGAGGTGTTATTTTTAAAACCCGGACGAGCCATTGTGACGTTTGCCTCCCCGCTTTCCCAGCTGGAATGAGTTCGGTTCCATCAGCTTTTTCCTCACCTTATCGTCATTGCTCGCTCTCTCTCTCTCTCTCTCTCTCTCTCTTAAAGACACCACAAGACAGATCATTAATAGATTCCTGGAAATGTTATGTTATGTAACTGCCGAATTCGCTGGCCGTTGAGCGTAGAAAGGACGCTAATTACGTGCTTTTATAATCTTGCCACAAAGAAAGTAGGGCAATCTCAGCGTTTAAGAATGTCGTTATCAACAGGGGTTTTGTCGGTTCTTTTAAAGGATATTTTAAGCCGGAAAGTGACGACCGGCTAAGCTTTGACACAGCTCGTGCTTGCCAATTGTGTGTCTTTTGCCCTAAATGAAATGTACGTCTTTCTAAATTTAGCCCTATCACATTTTAACAATCGTGGCCTCGGTGCTATTTCTGGTCTCTCCGGGGCTGTGTGCAAATACAAGCTCAAGGCCATTTGCTGTAGTTTTAACTGCACGCCTTCCAAGACCTCTGATAAGATTGTATTTTTAGGAAGGCATTTCGCAGCGCCCAGTGACTGCTGCTGAACTGAACGCGGGGCCCCATTTATCATCTGAAAGGACACTTTGGAGTAGCTGCTGCGTTCGGAGGCCAGCAGGGAATGGCAGGCGTCAGTTTCTGTTCTGGCTTTTGTAAATAACAGCTAATGAGGTCAGAGGCATTTGTTTCACGTCATAATCTCCCCGGATCAGCTATGAGCAATGGCAGGCAGATATAGGTTAGTAGATTGTATTTTTGCCTCTGTAACCTAGTTTTTCTCATTGGAGATAGATGATTATGGTAAGTATTCGGATGTTCAATTTCTTCCCCGACTCTTAGTGTAATGACGTGTGACTGTACGTATTTAATAGTGGCTGTGAGGTGTCGTTTTCTTAGCGTACCGTTTACATGATTGAACCACAGTATGATTTTAGGGGCTGGAGACATTCTAGATAGTGACCCCTGGAACACATTATTACCCCTATTTCGGCCATTTTCCAAGACTGCAGTTCCATCAATCCCACCCCCCCCCCCACCCGGCCCCCCCCCCCCCCCCGGCAGCAGACCCGACCCCCTTTGGGAGCTGGGCTAGGAGACCCAGGCCTGCCTGAGGTCTTGGCCACCTTCCTTCACGCGTCCCTGCGCCCCTCGCTCCCGCCCCGGGGACCGGGCACGCGCCTGGCGGCGGCAGGCAAAAACCTCGGCCCAAGATGCGCCTTGGGCAGCGGCTGGACGCGCCTCGCGGTGGCCCGCGCGCTTCCCCGCCCCCTCCCCGCATTCCTTTGTTCTGGCGCGGGGGTCCTCGCGGCGCCGAGGCCCCGCTGCGCCGCCCACCCGGCGGGAGGCGGGCCCGGGGAGCGGCGCGGCTTGGGGGCGCGGCCGCCGAGCGGGGCGGAGGCTCGACCGGCCCAGTGCGGGCCTAGTGCGGTGCCCTGCGCCCACCAGGAGGCCTGAGGCGGAGAGCGGGGCGTGCCTTCTCCGGGCAGGCTCCGGCCGAGACGGGCCTCGGGCGGACACAGCGAGGGCCTGACTCCACTCCGTGGCACCGCTAAGTGCGACCCCACAGACACCTTTGTTTCTGGAGTCCTCGTTGTATTTCCGAGCCAAGCTCTTCTCCAGAGTGAAAAAGCAATGGCTTTTCTAAATGGCTACAGAAAGGGGGGGGGGGCGGGGAGGCAGTCTTGTCATGATAGGAGGGTTCCTGCTTGAACGTGGCTAGTTGAACCCACTTATTTTTTTTTTTTTTTGCTTCTTTATTATTCTTTCTTGTACCTAAAGTTTATATCGTCAAAGGCCCAAGATTATAAAGATGGTCAGGAGTCCCTAATTCACAACCACCCACACAGATGCAGCTATCCCTCCGTAGAAGTACCCCTCTGCGCTGTCATCCCAGCTGCAGGTTTCTCTGAGCGGGCTTCCGGTGTCACAGCGAGGCATCCAGGTGTGTGGAGGGTGTTCCGATCTGGCTGCTGTCTGCGGATGGTAGGCCTGGCCTCTGGCCTTCACCGCCAGGGTGCTCCTGGACACCCTAGGAACCCTCTTTCAGTTACTGACAGACAACTTTGGGAGGTACAAAGGGGACAGGTGCTGCCCAGGCCTCTGTCTCCAGTTACGGTAGACCTTCACTGGCCTCCGGAGAAACTCAAGGGGAAGCCTGTGGATCTGGACAGTTAGCAGGGGCTCAAAGGATGTTTCCAGAATGCTAGTGTGAGGTCGCTTTCCTTTACTGAACCAGATCTCACAGGAAGGGCAAGGACGGGTTGGTATTGGGCCTGTGAAGATCCGTCCTCTTTTGTTTCTGAAAACTCTTGCCTTGTAGGTGTTGTTTAATGTCTACACCAAGGGAATTCTTGACAGCATCAAAGCACTTCAGGGTCCCAAGTAGCTTGGGGTAATGTGGTAGGAAGGGACATCACAGCAGGAGTAGTGTGGCCTTTTCCAGATCTCTGGAACTTAAGCTCTCTGGCCTGGCTGATGTCTGCTTCTAACCCTCGGGTCTGAGATCACCTGTTCTCACCTCCACTTGTACACATACGCCATCTTGGAGTGTGGTTGGAGCCCTGTGGGCGACAACTAAAGCCAGAGCCCTGCAGACTGATGCTTCTCAATCTTGTTGACACCTGGGTCTGGGGGAGCTGGGGTCCTCGCAGAAAGGGCTGGAGCCTGGAGTCATCGTTACCCTGATTCCGAAATCAGAAGGGCAGTTACTACACAAGGCAGGTGGAGGACCCCCCATCACCCTCATTTTACAAAAGAGCCACTCGGGGAAGGTGGTGAGCAGTCCAGGCCAGGGCTGAAGAAGATGGGAGCTCTGCTAGCCATGCCCGCTGGCCTGCCTCGTCCTGTCCGTCCCTTCAATGAGTGAACACAGGCTCACTGTACTTGGTGAAACAGTTTCCTTTTCTGTGTTGAGGGCTTATCTCGGCAATTATAACATCACCATGATGCAACAGCCTGCAAATTAGAGCCCTTTGTGAAAGGCTGTGCACACGTTGAGCAAGGCCCCTGACTCACCCCTGCCAGCGGAGCGTTCTAGCTGACCTAGTCGTGGCCATCAGCGGGTTCCGAGATGTAGGTCTGATTGAAGCGTAGGCTGGAGAGGCGCGGTCGGAGTACTCAGCGTTATTTTTACCCAACTTAGAAATCACACATGCCTCATTATTTCCATTGTAACCCAGATGGCATTGATGCTGTTAAAAGTTGTTTATTTTTAATTTGTATTGAGGAATGAGAGCACGCTTGGGATTCGAGTCAAACATAACAAACAATGTAATTGAGATTTCCTATAATGCTCACTTCTTGTTTTTGTCAGGTATGCCTGCATTTCGCCGGGTTAGCACATTGTTTGATATCCTGTTATTTTTCTCAATTTTATTTGAGTTGATTTTTATCCAGATTGGCCTCACAAGTGAATGTCGAAAGACACTGACCTTCGATCACAGACAATTACATAAGAGAGGTTTTTTTTTTTTCAGTTTCAAAATGAGTTTTTACTGCCACCACCCCTGCTTACCTCTCACATTTCTTTGCAACTAATTTTCCTGTCGTTAGAAAGGGGGAGGATTGTGTTTCTCGTATGGCTTTAATTAGAGTTTGAGCTTGTTTTTTAAGTCTAGCGGGGATTTGCTGGATGCCATTCGTTAATAATCCTGGCTTTGAGGACCTGGTTTCACTGGAGTTTGGGTGTTTATAAGCCTTTCAATTATCAGAACACGGTGTCTTTTATTAACTTTCTAGGGATCTTAAATATAATTAAGTAAGTAGCCTTCAAATAAACCTTCCACTCTATTCATAAGGCGCACAGCTCAATAAATGGCAGTTACCTGGAGTGCCGATTAGGAGAGTGAGAGAGAGCATTTGAAACCAGGCTAGGGAGATTGGAGATACTGAGGCGCTTTCTGCCATGCCCCAGCCCCAGCCCCCACCCTCATTTGGGTAACTGCTGTTGTTTTATTCTGTTGCCATTATGCTCTGCACTAGTCCAGGCTCTGATGGAGGTGTCCCCTGAGACACAGAGGAGAGTAGGACATAGCTCAGTTGGCAGTGTTCGCCCTGGGCCCTATCACCAGCACCCCATAAAACAATGTCAGAGTGTATGCCTACAGTCCCAGCACACGAGACGTCATGCTGCAGGAGGATCGGGAGCCCATGTTCACAGCAAAGAAAAGAGGAAAGATTCCAGGGGAGTTACTAAATTCATCAATTATCTTTTCAAGAAACTGTCACAAACAGGGGCTTGGAGAGATGGCTCACTGGTTAGGAGGTTGGTTCTGAAGCCCAGCGCCAGGCAGTTCACAGCTGACTGTAACTGCAGCTTCAGGGGCTACAACACCCTCTCCTGACCTCCACAGGCGGGGATGGGGACACAGTGTGCTCACGCAGGAGCACGCATAAATAAAAACAACAAATCCTCTTCTGAAAACTGTTTTCTCACAGGTAGTAATGGTTCCCATTTGGAAGCTTCTCTACTAGGTTTTTACAAATACCTTTCTCTATACACACACAACTCACTCTCTCTCTCTCCACCCCTCCCCCTCTTCCATGGGCTTCATTTTCTCAGGCTGTGAGGTGGTTTTAATGGGTGCTCCCGCATGTCCTGTCTGCCTCTGCCTTCCAGACTTCCTCCGTTATGTTAGAAACGCTTGGTCCTGTGGAGACTGTCGTTTTACCAGTTCACGTTTCAGCCAGCAAGCACATGGGTGTGCTAATAAAGGGCAGGGTTGTCATCCAGTTCTTGAAGTTTAAATCTAATTTTCAAGTAACCCCTTGTTGGACTTGGAATCTTTTCCTTTCCCATAAGCTGGATCAGGTTTTGACACATTTATTTACAGATGCATGCAAACAGAAAAAGTGGGTCAGTCCGTTGCCGGGGTAGGGCTGGTCCGGCAGTGAGAGACAGCTCCTGTGTACGTGGCCCCACATGCGCAGCAAGCACGTGTTTCTGCTGGGCCTGGGTGTACTTTGGCCTGCTAAGCAGCTGCGGGCCCTGAGATGGGCACTCAGGAACTAGGTTGTTTTGTTCTCCGTGTAAAATGTCAGTGGATTAAAGTGCTCACTGCTCAGACCCGATGACCTGAATTCAGTTCCCAGATCCCACTGTGGAAGGAGAGAACGCACTTCTGAACGCCTGCCTCTGACCCCACACATGCCACAGGGTGATAAGAAATAAAATAGGCTGAGCCTACATCTGAGGAGGTGATGAAGTGATCAAGTGGCTTTCCCAGGTTTTCACAGGTAGGAGCGATGGCTCCGGGTTAAGAGCGCTTGCTGGTCTTCCAGGGGACCCAAGTTCACTTCCCAGCACCCAACTAGGCTTGTGGTGCATCTTGATACCTAAACGAGGAAGATGTCCTGTGCTCAGGGCACACTGTTTGTTCGTTTCCGTCTCTGTAGAACCTGAACTGCCTCGACTCACCTCTGAGAGGTCAGAGGTCAGAGATGTGCGTGTGTGTGTGTGTGTGTGTGTGTGTGTGTGTGTGTGTGTGTCTGTGTCTGTGTCTGTTGTAACCACAGGAACCCCTGCAGGATAAACTCTGTCTAGAGTTTATGTTGTCTATTGGACTCTTCTTGCTTTTCTGAGGTTGGGTCTTATTTTTTAAACTGCAGAGAATATTTAGATCACCTGACTTAAATAAACTCAAGGATCTGGGCTTATGAAATACAGCTCCTGCCTGCAGCAGGTTGTAAAAAGCATGGCTGTGATGGTGTCTTCTCGGTAGGTGTGGGAAAGTATGTCAGCTGGCATGACGCGATGACTGCTCTTAAATTTCTCTTTTTTATTTGTGTCTTTAAGCAGTCATATCAGCTAATGGATGTAATGGAGTTAATGGCGCTAAAAGGGGTAACATCATAGAACTGGCATTTCATGTCAGTTATTCACCAAAAAAGAAACACAGTGACTAAGCTACCCCAGCGTTCTGTGTTGATCCCAAACAGTGACACACAGGTGAAGTCATGGCTAGATTAGTCATGAAGAGAGACGCTGGGATCCGAAGCAGTCATCAGAAATGTGGGTGCTTTTAGAAGCTGTGCTGAGGAGATAGGTGACTCTGTGGGTCAAGGGCCTGGATGTTGAGTATGAATCCGCAGAGCCCATGGGGAGGTAGAGCATGCTTGAAATCCCAAGTGCTGGGGAGACAGAGAGCAGAGACAGGCAGGTCCTGGGAGCTTCCTAGGAAGCATGTTTATAGAACAGGAATCTCTAGGTCCACTGAACGACATTGCTTTAAAAAAAAAAAGATGGAGAGGTAATACAGATGACTCCTCCAGCCCTCACACACACACACACTTTATGCACATCATAATAAAATAAAAAGCGACTGTCAACTGCATTTGCCCTGCACTCACTGTTGGGGAGCTTAGAATCCAGAGCCATCGCCATCTCTGATTTAAACTACTGCGTGATCTCTGGCTAGTAGCACAGTCTTTCATTTCTCTCTTTTAGCTGCCTCCTCTGTGTATGTCAGCACAAGCTAGAGCCACTGGAGAGGAGGGAGATTCAGCTGGGAAAATGCCTCCATAGGGCTAGGCTGTGGGCAAGCCTGTAGTGCATTTTCTTTATCAGGGCTGTCTGGAGCAGGCTCCAGCTCATTGTGGGTGAGGCTACCCCAAGCAGTTGGACCTGGGTTCTATAAGAAAGCAGGCTGAGCAAGCCATGAGGGAGGGACCAGCAGCACCTCCTCGGGGCCTCTGCATCAGCTCCTGTCTCTGTGTTCCTGCCCTGCTTGAGTTCCTGTCCTGACTTCCTTCACCTATGAACAGGGATATGGAGGTGAAGCCAAACAATCCCTTTCCTCCCCAAGTTCCTTTGATTGTGGTGTTTCATCACAGCAATAGAAACTCTACAAAGTCATTGGGTCACAGGAACGCTGACCCCTTGTTGAAACAGATGCACTTTTTATTTTCTTTATAAGATAATAATGGGGCTGGAAAGTTGGTGCTGCTCTTGCAGGGGAACCTGGGTGCAACTCCCAGCACCCGCACAGTGGCTCATTACCATTGGTGAGTTCAGCTCCAGGGGATCCAATGACTTCTTCTGGCCTCCCAAGTGTACTGGGTAGGCAACACACTCACACACGTATTTTTTTTTAAGATAATAATAGGGGCTAGAGAGAGAACGCATTGCTTAAGAGTGAGTGTTGCTCTTGCAGGGGACCAGAGTTCACTTCCCAGCACCCTCAGCGGGCAGCTTACACACTCTTGGAGCTCCAGCTCCAGCGGGATCTGAAGCTTCCGGCCGTGGCAGGCACTGACACTCCCACGCACATGCCCACACAGAAAGACACACAAATGTACACATATTCTGCTAAAGATTAGTAATAATGATATTAATGCTGATAGTAATGGTGGCTGAAGCAATTGTTTTGTGTCAGGATAAACATCACCTTGAAGGGGGCGGTAGGGGAACGGTGTGTACCGGCTGTGTGCATGTTTGCTCTGTGGAGTCAGAATCAAACCCCAAAGCAAGAAAGAGAGGTTTATTATCTTGTGACAAATCCTAGAATAGAACGCTTACCTAGCTCTCTCCTGGGTTCTATCCCCAGCATACATGCGCATGCACACACACACACACACACACACACACACACACACACACGTACCCACGTACCCATGCACACACTTACACATGTACACACACACACACCACAAAGTAAGACCCAATTCATATTATAAATATTTTACTTGTGGGTGTGAAAAACAGTTGATGGTTCTATTTTTCAGTTCTTATATTTTATTTGAAACTAATTACTAAGATCGAGAGAAGGTCTTTCCATAATTACCTTTCTCTGGTTTTGAAGTAATCTTAACTTTCAAGAGGGTTCTGTTTAAGAAAAGAAAGAAAAGTCCCTCTGAATAGTAAGTGTTTTGGTACAAAGGGGATATATAAGTGAAGTCTGTTAGGCTGAACTTTAGGACCTCCAGAAGCACTTTGGCACTCCCTCCTGAAAGTCTGAGGTTCTTGCATTTCGAGTCTTATATGTACAGGTACTTCAAGTAAGTGTAGCAGCTTGAGGGAGAGGTCAGTAGGGTTCCCATGGGAGACTGGGGGCCGCCAGGCCTGGGGGCTGGGGGGAACAGCAGGTTAACAGGTGTTGAGGAGTTTACTAAGCTAAGTTCTTGCAAAGAGATGCGCATGTTTTCTCGGCAGAGCCATGTTCTCTGTCTGAGGCGGGGCAGCGTACCATTGCGGGGTTACCAGGGTGCCTGTCATCTCCTCCTGCCATGAATCACCCTACGTAGTGCACGTGGCCTTTTATCTCTGTCTGACCTGGGGGGAGGGGAATGGATTTAGGGATGATTGACTAAGTGACAGATTTAGTGACTGGGTGGGTAGGTGAGTGACTGAGTAACTGATTTCCTCACTCTCCTGGACCGCACAGTCCGCTGCAGAGAGTGTCTTTGCCACTGAAGAGGAAGAATTTGTGTATTGACATCTTCTCCCAGCTTGCTCACTCTTTAAAGAAAAGACCTGAGCCGTGTTTGCGACCGATACTCCTTGGCTGCTCAGCACAGGCCCCTTTGCAGCTGCTGCACATCTGCCCAAGGGACTCATCATGTTCTCCTCTGTTGCAGATAACCCATGAAAGGCACCTGACAGATTTACCCTGCAGCCGACAGCAGAGGGAATATTGATGGATGAGAAGCTGAAGGTTTTCAAACCTGAAAGAATACTGGGAGAGTGATTTGTTGTCCGCCGTCAGGTCCGTGGGGTAAGGACCTTTCTGATGCAGCTGAGAAAAATGCAGACCATCAAGACGGAGCCTGCGCCCCTGGACCCCACCAGCAGCTCGGACAAGATGATGGTGCTGAGCTCGGCCTTGGCCGAGGTGGCAGAGGACCTGGCCTCGGGGGAAGATTTGCTCCTGAACGAAGGGAGCGTGGGGAAAAACAAATCCTCCGCATGTCGGAGGAAACGGGAATTCATTCCGGACGAGAAGAAAGACGCCATGTACTGGGAGAAGAGGAGGAAGAACAACGAAGCCGCCAAAAGGTCTCGCGAGAAGCGCCGGCTCAACGACCTGGTTTTGGAGAACAAGCTGATCGCGCTGGGCGAAGAAAATGCCACTCTGAAAGCTGAGCTGCTCTCTCTGAAGTTAAAGTTTGGCTTAATTAGCTCCACGGCGTACGCCCAGGAAATCCAGAAACTCAGTAACTCCACAGCCGTATACTTTCAGGACTACCAGACGTCCAAGGCCGCCGTGAGCTCGTTCGCGGACGAGCCCACGATGGTGGCGGCCAGCTGCATCTCCGTCATCAAGCACTCTCCGCAGAGCTCCCTCTCGGACGTGTCCGAGGTCTCCTCCGTGGAGCACGCGCAGGAGAGCCCCGCGCAGGGCGGCTGCCGGAGCCCCGAGAGCAAGTTCCCCGTGATCAAGCAGGAGCCCGTGGAGCTGGAGAACTTGGCCAGGGAGCCCAGGGAGGAGCGGGGTGCCTTCTCCACCTCCATCTACCAGAGCTACATGGGAAGCTCCTTCTCTGCCTACTCCCACTCCCCGCCCCTCCTGCAGGTCCACGGCTCCACCAGCAACAGCCCGAGAACCTCGGAGGCCGATGAGGGTGTGGTGGGCAAGTCTTCCGATGGGGAGGATGAGCAACAGGTGCCCAAGGGCCCCATCCATTCTCCGGTGGAGCTGCAGCGGGGACACACCACGGTGGTGAAGGTCCCAGAAGTGAACCCTTCTGCCTTACCACACAAGCTCCGGATTAAAGCCAAGGCCATGCAGGTCAAAGTGGAGGCCTTGGACAGCGACTTTGAAGGCATGCAGAAACTCTCTTCACCCGCAGACGTGATGGCCAAGAGACATTTCGACCTGGAGAAGCACGGCACCTCGGGTGTGGTCCCCCCCTCCCTCACTCCTTTCTCAGTGCAGGTGACGAACATTCAAGATTGGTCCCTCAGATCGGAACACTGGCATCACAAAGACCTGAACGGCAAAACTCAAAGTAGCTTCAAAACGGGAGTGGTGGACGTCAAAGACAGTGGCTATAAGGTTTCTGAGGCTGAGAATTTGTATTTGAAGCAGGGAATGGCAAACTTATCTGCAGAGGTGGTCTCGCTCAAAAGGTTCATAGCCACACAACCTATCTCAGCCTCGGACGCCAGGTAAATGCCTACTGACTGAGTTACGCGTGGAGGAGGATGCTGTTGGTACCGTGCTGAATTTCCACTGGACCTCTGATGTCATTTCACTGTAGTGTGCACCCGGTGTCTGTCTGGTGTCCTGTGTGCACACGCTGAAGACTTGATGCCCTCACTCTGCCTGGTGTATAGTCAGATAACCCCCACAGAGGCTGTACATACCGAACGTTATTTTTGCTCTATTATAAAGCGTGTATGTTGCCACTTTCAATAAAGGATTGGTGACAAACACAGCACTGGCTCTGTTCCTCTTGGTCTGATCGGAAAAGAAAAGGCCACTTAAGTTTCTTAAGGTAGACGCTGGGGGATGGATATCTCAGTTGGGGATAAGGTGCTCCCCGCACAATCAAGACAGCCCTAGCACATGTACAGAGAGGCAGGTTCAGGAGCACACAAACCTCTAACTCCAGAGAAGGGGAACTGGTTGGGGCGCAACCCACAGGCAGATGGCTAGGGCTCACCTGCCAGAGGGCCTAGCCCACCTGGCTAGCTCCAAGTTCAGTGAGCGGCCCTGAATCAAAGAGTAAGGTGGAAAGGGATTGAGGAAGACACTGGACATCGACCTTTGACCCAACACACTCACATACATGTACAAGTAAGTTGCCATGGTAGAATTAACGTGGAGCGTTTGCTTCCCCAGAATGAGAGAAGACTGACTTTATTTGTTTTTTAAATTTTATTTATTTGTGTTTGTTTCGCAAGCAGTCATGTGTTTAGAAACCTAGAGACAGCGAGGGCCTGGGAGTCTGGGAATAGAGAAGAGGGTAGGGACGGCGAGGGCTCCTGTGCTGGGGTCTGGCTGGCAAAATTATTCCCTGCAAGGTAGTTTTCACCAGGACTGAGTTTTCTCTAGTTTTCTCACGTGGAAGACTCCAAGCGGTTTGCTGTCTCCTTAGTCACCTCCCTTTTCAGTGTGACACATGGTGTAGCTGAGTCACTGACCCACTTTCCTGGATGAGAGACCATTTTTAAAAGCAGATGAAAACAGGACAGAGGAAGTGTTTTCTGTTTTTCCTTTGCATTACGCTAAAGCTTAGCAGTTATAGAGTGTGACCAGGCAGAGAGATAAGCTAAATATCATTTAGATGTCATTAAAGGAATTTCTGAGAGCCTATCAGTTACCGCAGGCCAACATCTGTATGAGTCAGGTATCTTTATTGACTTGTTAAAAGACTCAAGCTATGTAGTTCAGAGGCTGAATCTTCACCTAGTACTTGTGGGGCCCTAGGCTTCCCTCCCCAGGGGGCAAAAGATGTGTGAAGGAGAAATATTAATGATGCCTCCCTAGCTTCAGACATTGGAAATAATAACACACAGGTCTGGAAAACATGACCCCAGCAACCGGGGAAAAGACCAGGCCTGGCCTTTTATTTGTCCAGAATTCTCTACGTGTGTCATGAGACAATCCCCGTGTACCCTTGCCATGCGGCGGGGTGGTGTCCTGTGTGTCTCTCTCAGGTGGAGTGGGTGGGCAGTGGACCGTGTTCCCAGCAGCTTGCCCCTTCCCCAAGCTCTGTGTCTCCATACTGGTCTGTCTGCACTGGGCACAGGGAACCGTTGTGCTGTGACCACACTTATTCTTACTTGGCACGGCACGGTTGACCGCAGTGCCTGGAGGCAGAGCAGGCAGTGTGCTTGGGTCGAGTCTTTCTGACACCACATCCAGGACAGCCTCGTGCTTGTTCTTGGCTGTGTTATCGGCATTGTGCACTGTGGTTCCTGGTGTGTAAGGGACCTTCTGTCGCACACATAAACACACACACACTGGCTACCTGCTTTGTCCTTTAGCTCTGGCCTCTACTTCTGTCCAGGTCTCCCAGCTAGAGAAATATATGTCATGGTGAGGCCCTCTACTGTTCTCAGTCTTATTACAGGCTGAGCTGGGGTCTGACAGTCACCCGAAAATGCTGGAAAGCAAAGAAGCAGGCTCACGGCCAGAAACAGAGTCTAAATACTTCAATAGCCCAGGATGGGCAGGATGAATCACAGCACAGTGGCTGTGACACAGCAGAAATAGGATGTAAAGTTTTCCTACACGGGAAGAAGTGTCCATGGCTGGGCTTGGAGTGAGGCAGTACAGCAATAAACCCAAATGTGTAAGGCCCTGGACTCAATCCTCAGCACTACAGAACAAAAGTCACAATAAGGGAAAAAGTTACAGTGAGGGGAAAGGAATCCCATCAAGCATGCTGGGAGTCAGGGCCCCGTGAAATAAGAGCTTGCATCTGTGCTGACACATCCAGACAGTGGTCCCCTGTCTCTGCAAATGCACCCAGAGGAACAGTAGAAAACTGTCTCTGGCCACACTACCTCGGACACGCCCACTCTCATCTGATCCTGGACGCTAAGCTGGGTTAGGCCTGGTCAGTACTTGCATGGGAAAACAGTCGCTAGGGACCGGAGAGATGGCTCGGCAGCTAGGCACACTTGCTTAACTGCACTTTCAGAGGACTCAGACTTGGTTCTCAGCATCTGAATTGGGCTGCTCTCAACCACCTGTAACTCCACCTCCAGAAGACCCGACACCCTCTCCTAGTGAGCTCAGTCACCAACATGCACACGGCACAAACACAAATAAAACATAGATATTAAAACATGACCCGTGACAAAGTGTGGGCCAGGAGCATCGCAGTCGTGAGGAGAATGAGAAAGCATCAAGAAAAGTGTTAGTTATTCAGAAAAGGGAGTTCGCATTCTGGAGGGCCAAAAGGCGTCATGAACAGGGCCAAGTGCAAAAAAGGAAAGTCTTTTGTTCTGAAGAAGTTTTCCCTCTGCAGAACCATGAAGAATGCTGGCATCATACCACCTCACCTTCCCAATCTTGGTAGCTGACGTCTCTGGCCGGGCCTCAGGAGTGTGGTCCTACAGGCATGGCCTCTACAGCCAGCATGTCTCCCAGATTCATTGCCAGACACAAGCAGTCAGTGGGGGTGCCTCCCCTGATTCTTTATCTCTTCTCTTAGTGTCACATTGCCTTAGCATTTCAAGGCCCTCCATTTTCTTTGAAAAGATGGCTGAAATGTTATGCCTTAAAACTAAAATGAACCTCATCAACGTGTGAAGAACCAAAGAAGTAGTGCAATAAACAGAACACTTCTGCTGCGTGCTGCTAACAGGAACCTCTGTTGCCCCCACATTCTGCCCAGAGTCCCCTAGAATGATAAAAATGGGCTTGGGAGTAGCTTAGTTGGTAAAGGGCTGCTATGAAAGCATGAAGACCTGAGTTCAATCCCCAGAATCCCCACAGAAAAGTTGGATGTGAGGCCCGGCATGGAGGTGCACACCTTTAAACCTAGTGCTTGGGAGGCAGAGCAGATAAATCTCTGTGAGTTCCAGGCCAGCCTAGTCTACACAGTGAGTGCCAGGACAGCCAAGACTAAGTAGAAAGAGTGTCTCAGAGAGGGTGGTGCAAGCTGGTAGTCTCAGGGCTATCGAGGTGAAGGCAGGATCTCTGGGGCTCACTGGTAGCTCAAAGGTGCTGCCAACTTCAGTGAGGAATCCTGTCTCAAAAACTAAGGTAGATGGTACCTAAGGCACACCTGACATTGGTTTCTGGCCAGCGCGCGTGCGCGCGCACACACACACACACACACACACACACACACACACACAATGAAGGCTTACAGCCATGCCTATTAAAAAGAGAAGGAGCATACACACCTCAGAGCACCAAAAAGTCTCAGGAATATCCAAAAAGCAGCTCTCGGGTTAGCCTACAGAATGAAAGGAAGCCATAGCCAGACATACCGGAAGGTGCTCCCCAAGGGCCGAGCCCCAACCCCAGGCATGAAGAGAGGGATGGCTGCCGGGTCCTCCCTGGAATGCACTGGGTGTGCATCGCATCCTCATCGGTAGCTCGTGTGTAGGATTTGCTTGGTTAGAGCCCTGCCTCTCACATGCCTTCATCACAAGGAGATGTGTCCTTTTACAGTCACGCTCAAGATCCCCGTGGACACCTAAAGCTACCGGTAGCCCCCGGCTCTACACGGACCGCGTCTTTCCTACACGTGCCTGTGGTAAGGTTTAGTTGGTAAGTTACACAGTGGGAGAGCAACAGCAGACCAGAAGAACAAGAGCAGTGCAATAAAAGCTTAATTAACGATTTAACTTCTTCTTAACTGTGCATATGTCTAGGACCTGTGTAGGGTGCGTGCACGTGGGGCAGACGCCATGGCAGGGCAGACGTCCTCGATTCCCTCGAAGCCGCAGTCACAGGCAGTGGTGTGTTGTGGAGACCAAACTCAAAACCTCTTCAAGAGCAGTGTGTGTCACCACCTACCAAGCCGTTTCTCCAGCCCCTAAAAGTTACTCTCTAGATGAATTGTTGAGGGGTGCAAGCAGGAATTAAAGCTCGTTCTGAGCTATTTAGAAAGTTCCAGGCCACAGGAGATCCCCAAACACAAACAAAAAGTGAATTTCTAGGATTTCCTCTTGACAACGGATACCTCCAGCAGCTGAGTCTGTGCGACAAGGGTGGCTACTCTGCTATCAGCCTTCGAGGGACTCCTGTGGAAGCTTGCCCAGCAGCCAGCAGTGCAGTGTCCAGGATCCAAGCCCTGTACCTGGACAAGGAGGGCGGGCAGGAGTCAACGTGGGACACTTCAGAGGGGAAAAGACACCTGTGGAGGAAGGGAGATGAAGGGAAGCACCGTGATACTCATATAGTCCCTGCACTTGGGGGGCAGAGGCAGAAGGATTGCAAATTCAAGGCCTGCTGGGGGCTCCATCACAGGAACCTGTCTGAAGCAAGAACAGCAGGAAGCTGTGGTTGAGATGTCTAGTTTTCTAGTGTATAATAGTTAAATAAGGGATTTCTGTATTAGCTTCAAAGAAGGAAATATTCCAAAATAAAACCAGCTCACCTGTGTGTGGCTTCCAGTGGCTGCCCACACACCGTTCTGAACAACAGTGCTCTGATCCATTGATAACTTTCTGCCACACAGGCATTTTGCTGGTGTTAGAGGTTTGCCTTGTTAGAGGCTGGGAATGTGGCTTGTGTGATGGAGTGCTTGCCTGGAGTGCACAGCACCTTGGGTTCTGCTCCAGCACTGCATAAACTGGGAATCTCATCACATAGGAGGTGGAGGAGAGAGGATCAGAACTTCAAGGGTATTCTTGGCCCCACTGAGGGTGTGAGGTCAGGCTGAGAGACTCTTGTCTCAACACACACACACACACACACACACACACACACACACACACACACATTGTTAGACTTTAACTGGTAGCTATT